ATACATACTGTGCACTGTATACACTCTGCACACTGTACACACACTGTACACTATAAACTCTGAAAACTGCATACATACTGTGTATTACATTACTGCACATTACACTCTATTCACTCTGCACATTACATAATACTCATCAATGCATTCAGTGCACTTCACATATTAGATACACTGCATACATACCTGTACTGTACAGTATATACACTGTCTATACTGATATCTATACCTGATGAACACCCATTCGTCCTAACAAGAAGTAACTGAGATTTCAAGTAAACCAATGCAGGAATTAATTAGGGAGTAAATACTGACCCTTATGACTCTACAGACATTTACTGGAGATTTAGAAACCAGAATTCATTGTGTTTCTACGCACTGTCTAACAAAAAACGCACCACACTTCTTACATCCATTCACTTTCCATCATTCTCTTCACACATCCCCCCCCCAGCTCGGGAGTCAGTGATCTGGGAGCTTGAACAGCGCCACCTGCAGGAGAAATACCACCTGTTCAAGCAGCAGGTGAAGGAGCAGTTCTCCCTGCAGAGACAGCAGCTCATCAAGAGGCACAGCAAGGTAGGGTTGGACCTGAGGATCTTCCTAATAGCCAATACTCTAGGTCTTCCTGCCTGTCCAGGTGTGCATCAGTAAGTCTGGGTATCTCCCCGTGTTTGTCCATCTCTAATTCTGTGCCTTCTGGCCTGAAACTGCCCTTCTGTCTCCATACTCATCTGTCTACCTCCAATCTCTTCTCCTTCCTCCCCCACCCCTGCTCCCAGGATAAGGAACGTGCCATGCGTTTTCACCAGTCTCTGCTGGAGGAGCAGCGTTCCCTGTTTGCCCAGGAGCGTGCCAGGCTACCACGCACCCAGCGCCCCGAGGCCAAGAACCGACTGGCCCAGTTCAAACTTCGCCTCAAGAGCCAGGGGCTCAACAGCCAGGAGATGAGACAGCGCCTCACACAGGTCAGCACGGGAAGTGCACCCTACCTCAACTGGACAGCTCAAGAAGTTAATTAAGCAGCTGTTCAGAACCTGCTATTACTAGTTCCTATCTCCTGAGGGCTGTCGCAGGCAGAGGACAATTTCTTTATTCCCATGCTAGTTTGAAGACATGAGAGCCAGTTACAGATGTTGAAATATAACTTAATGAAACGTTTTTTGACTGAGTCAACTAATGCAGTAATAAGACATGCATTTCAAGTTAAGAACAGTACAGAAAAACATCAGAGATTTGGAATGGTTGTTTCCCTCTGCCAGGAACTCCTGTGAACCTGACACTGATTTGACTGATATAATCTGCAAATCTGCAGATTATAAACTCAGTTATAATCAGTCAGAATCCATGCTGAGCTCTGAACCAATAGACAAGTACAGCAGAAACTGCAGCTTGCACGGAAAGCAGGGAGAATCCTACATGGGTCAGGTCAGTTTTTAAAAAA